TCCCATATCCCAGAAGAACTTGGGAAAAATCAGCCAGTGGAAAGGGTAGGGGCGTGGAGCAGGTCGTTGGATAAAATCCTCTCTGAAGATTGTAGGTCCGGCCGTTGGCCCATGTGCTCCGGAGCAAGAGCCCCGAAGAGCAGTGGCCGTGGCCAGCTAACCTGCCCTCCCAGCACCCAGCACCCGAATCCTGCCCACTTCACAGCCCGGACACCGCTGCTGGCCCGGGGTCGATGTGGCCAAGGTGGACCTTCAGGAAACTGCAGCGGCCCTGAGCACAGCAAGCACTGGGCTCCGGGCGGGCGCGCTGACCCGCTGGACACTGAGCAGATTTGGGAGTCTCCGACCTTCCCCGGCGTGGGCCAAGGCTCAGCTCCTGGCTCTCTGGGCCAGTGCGGTACCCAACTCACTGCCCACGGAGCTGGGCATGCGCCCGTGCCCACCCTCTTCACAGTGAGTGCCCTAGGGTGGGGAATACAGCCTTGCACGAGGACCCCTCGCAGAAAAGGGGGTGCTCTCCTCTCTCCGCGAGCTGGGAGTCAGAACTGAGAGTCCGCTTCCTTTAGGAGGTGGGGAGGACAGTTCTGAGCGGCCAGAGCTCCCCCCAGTCCCTCCCCACCCCGTCTCTGCTTCCCCTCTACATTGAAAGGGGCTCAGGACAGGGGTCCCTGGAGGCCAGTGGTGCCAGGTGCTGAGTCCTTGACCTTGAACTGACTCAGGAAAAGGGCCAGGAATTATCTGACCAATAAGAACCCACAGTCTGCTACAGACCACCTGGCATTGGGGCCATGCACCGGGTCCAGCCCCTCCCAGCCAGGGTTCCCAGGCCTGAGCCACCTAATAAGGAAGGGGAAAAAAAAAAAGCCGGCCCCACTTCGGGAAGGCCGAAAGGGCCCTGATCCGCTTGGACACCTTCCAAGGGTGGACAGGCACCCGGTCACGGACGCCGGAGGTGGTGGTTGGCGCGGAGGGCGACGACCGAGCCCCCTTGCTCCTGGCAGAGCCGTACAAGTGTCCCGATCACGCAGCGGAGGAGCCCCTCTCTAGGGGCCTGCGTCCGCGCCCTCCGGGCGCCCCCCGGGAGGCCCGCGCGCGCGCTCCGGCGCCGTGTGCGCGCCTTCTCCAAGCCTTACGGTAGCGCGGCGCGAGGAGCCACCACGTGGCGGCGGGCCCGGGCCGGGCGGGAATGCGCGGAATGCGCGGGGCGCCCCGCGCTGCTGCCGCCGAGGCCCCGGGGTCGCGCCGCGCGCTCCCGCCCCCCCGGGCCGAGCCCCACGCGAGCACCGGGCAGGGCCTGGGGTCGGAGCGGGGCCCGCGCGCGCGGAACCTCCCGGGGTTTCCAAAGCCGCAGCCCGCCCCGTGCCCCAGGAGCCCAGCAAGGGACCCAAAGATGCGTTGGGACCGTCACCCCGGTGCCCGCACCTGGCCAGGGTCCGGCGCCCCAGAACTGGAAAGCTCCCCCCAAATAAGGACCGCGCTGCCCCGCGCCCCCCGCTCCTTGGGCCTAGCGGAAAGCCGCAAAGGGGTGCAGGGGTGCAGGCCGCAGGGGTGCGGGGTGCAGCGCAAGGCCTCGGGGGTGGGGTGGGGTGGGGTGAGAGAGTGACCAGTCCCGGGGCCCAGCGTGGGAACCTCGCGCCTTGCCTGCCTGCCTGGCTGGGGCGGGGGGCGCCACGCGAGCCACGTGCGTGTCCACGTGGCCCGGCCGCCGCGCTCCTGGGGAGACGCGGGCAGGACGCGGTGCCCTCGGCGGAGACCCCCACCTCCCTGCCCTGCCCTGCGGGATGTGGTCCTCGGCTCCCCCTCCGTGCGCCCCTGCCCGGCCAGGGCGAGAGGCGGCGGGCGGATTCGGGGGAGTCCGACTTCTCCGTGCACCGGACGGCCCGTGGGAAGGGGAGGGGACTGCAGGACCTCTTTGCACCCCCAAAGTGCACTTCCTCTCCCGTGGGGGTCCCCGAGGCACTGCGGGGGGCTGTGCCCCGGGTGGGGGAAGGGGTGCCGCGTGCCCCCCGCCCACCCTGGGCCCTGCCTGGCTGGGCTGCGGGGTCCCTGCATGTGGCTGCAGTTCCAGGATGGGGGGGAGGGGGTGGCCAGCGGTGGGAGGTGCGCCTGCCCCTGGCCCCCAAAGGGTCTCTGACGAGGTGGACGTGGGGGACCCCCGCGGTCCGTGGAGCGGCGCTTGGGCGCCCAGAGCCGGCGGCGAGGGGGGAGGGGAGCCCGGAGCCCCCCTAACCTTCCCTCCTCCTGCAACTCCCGCCGTCCGCCTTCGGAAGCGTTTTTTTTTTTCCCCGAGGCCACTTCTGGGCTCTCACAATGGAAAACGCGCGGGGCCCGGGCCAAGTCTTTCAAGTCGCCGCCAGGTATGCGGCTGCAGGTGACCCCCACCTGCGCCCGCCCGCGGCCTCCCGGGGGAGGGCGAGGCTGCCCCTGGCCGGAGCCGGGCGCTGGGCGGGGCGTGCCCCGAGCGCGGGTTCCTCAATGAACGCGCCCCCTCCCCCTCCGGGCCGGTTCCCACCGCCAGGGACGGTGGCGAAGGTGCGCGCCGCGGAATTCGCCCTCGGGGCGGCCACCCGCCTCGGGGCCGCGGGGACCCGGGTCGGGGGGCCGCGGGGGGCGGCTGGCGCGGGTATTTTCCGCGCCAGGCGAGTATCATTCCCCTCCCCACTCGGCCGCCGAGCCTTTGTTTTCCATAGCCCCCGAGCGAGAAGCGCAGAGCACTTGATCAGGAGCCCTGGGCTCTCGGCACCTCCGGGGTCGTTCGCTCGCGCGGGGAGGTTTTTGTTTATTTATTTTTTTAAGCGAAAAACGCGAACTTTTCCACGGCGGCCAGAAAAGCGCCTCCGAGTAGTTCCCGGCCGCCTTCTAGAAGCCGGCGAAGGGAGGGAAGAGGAGCGCGGCGCCCGCGCCCCTCGCCAGCCGGCACCCCGCGATCCGGGGGTGGGGGCGGGGTTCCGCGCGGTCCGGGCACCCCGGGGTGGGGGCTGGGCGGCGGCGGCGGCCGCTCCCCGCCGGGCCCCGGATTCCTGCGCCTCCCCCGCGGGCTCCGGGCGCTGCTGCACGCTCGCCCGGCGGGCTGGCACTTTTGCGCCCGTCCCTAGGCGGGCGCGCGGCGGGTTCCCGGCGAGATCTGCCCGCGCCGCCTAGTAACAGCGCCGCCGCCCCATTGGCTCCCGCTAATTCCCGTTTCCTCTCGCCCCGCGGCCCGGGGTGCGGGGCGCCCCGCGTGCCCCGCGCGCCCGGGACCCCCGCCGGCCCGAGGGGGCAGAGGCCCGCCGCCGCGGATGGGGCCGGGGCGCGCGCGCGCGCGGGGGGCGGCCCGGGCCCCCACCCCCACCCGCGGCCCCCCGGGAGTGGGAGCCGCCCCCGGGCGCGCGCGCGGCCCCGGCCGTCCCCGGATTTTATGAATGAAAAAGCCGCCGGGCCGCCTCGTGCGCGCGCGCGCGGGCGGATGCGGCGAGGCTCGGCGGGGCCCGGGGCGCACGGCCGCCCCGCGCGTGGGGGCGACGCGCCCCCGCGGGGAGGGGGCTGCGGGCAGCTGCCCACCCGCCCTGAAAAGCAGCGAGGTGGGGGTGGGGGTCTCGCCTGCGCACGGGGAGGGTTTGTTTGGGGGTTTTTGGTGGTGGTTGTTGTTTTTTTTTTTTCAACGTTTCCTTTGCGCTGTTACCGGCGGGGGTCGGGGGGCTTGATGCCCCTGTGTTTCAGAGGGGTGGTGGGTAGGACCCGTTTTCTCGGCGTGGGGTGGGGGGCACGTAACGTGAAGGACGAAGTTGAGGCGGGGTGGGACACCGCGAGAAGGGGAGTCTGTGGAAAGCACTCGTCCCATGCGTCCTCCTCGGAACGCGTCCCCGGAGCGCGCGACGGTCCGGCGACCCCCCTTGGGCAACGTCGTTTTCAGCCGTCAGGTCCACACACCCGCTCCGGGGAGTCCTAGCTGTCCTCCCCTCGACCACCCCGGGGCTCGCGCCCGCGATCGAGAGGCGCCCCCCACCCACCCACCCCCACCCTCCGGCAAAAACACAATCAGGAGTCGCCCGGGGGTCTGGGGGCGACTGGATGTGTCCAACGGTTTAACTTATTTTTAAATTTCAAATGAGGCGGAACCGAGTGCTCGCTCGCAGCCTTCCATATGGGGAGGGGGAGGGTCTGGGGACTCTGAGATTGCCCCGGCGACGGGGTGGGCGTGCGCCCGTCCCCCCCCACCGCGAGCTGGGACAGGTAAGACGGTCCCCCCCCCCGAATCTCCCCACGAGGGGGGCCGGGACGGAGGAAGTGCAGGCCACCATTTTGGGCTGCGGCTGGAATTTTCGGGCAATTCTTTTTGGGGGGGGGGCAGGCACCAGCATATGCAGGGCTGAGACCCCCCTCGCATGGCCAGGGCTGCTGCTTTGCAGCGCCCCGCGGCCCGCGCGCTGGAGGGGCGCCTCGGCGGGGGGCTGAGGACGCCGCCCCGCGCCCCCCAGGGCCAAGTGGTCCCGGCGGTTTGCACGTGTGAATGAAAATGAAAGGACGGCGGCGCGGGGCCGCGGACCCCAACCTCCCACCCTCCCGATGCGTGTGGCCCGGCCGGCGCGGGGGTGGGGGTGGGGTGGGGGGACGCGGAGAGGGCCGCCCGCCGCCCCCCACCCCCGCACCGCGCACCCCGGGCCGGGGAACCGGGCGGCCCCGGGGAGATTTGCATCTCTATGAAATCGGGGCGGGGGCGGGGCGGGGTGGGGTGGGGTGGGGGCGGCCCCGCGCGACGGCGCCGCGGGGCAGGCGTGGCGCCCCGGCCCGCTCCGGGGCTCCCCGCGCCGCGCGCGCCCCCGCCCCCGCCCGCCCCCTCCCCGCCCGGCTTTGATCTCCGCTCACAACGGGGACGTCACGCGGGCCGCGGGGCGAGTTTTGTGGCGAGTCGCCGCGGCCCCGAGCCCGCAGAGGGCGGTCGGCGCTCGCAGCGGCCAGAGCACGGCGGCGGCGCGCTCCGGCCCCGGCCCCGGCCCCAGCCCCCCGCACCGCGCGCGCCCCGCCGCCCCCGCCGCCCGCCGGCCATGGCGCACCAGCTCCTGTGCTGCGAGGTGGACGCCGTCCGCCGCGGCTACCCCGACGCCAACCTGCTCAACGACCGGGTGCTGCGCGCCATGCTCAAGGCGGAGGAGACCTGCGCGCCCTCCGTGTCCTACTTCAAGTGCGTGCAGAAGGAGGTCGCGCCGTCCATGCGCAAGATCGTGGCCACCTGGATGCTGGAGGTGCGCTGGCCCCCGGCCCCCCGGCCCGCGTGGCCCCGCCGCCCGCCTTCCCGCGCGCCCCGACCTCGGAGAGCGCGGGGAGCGCGCCCGGGGCGCGGCGTGTCCCTGCGCGCCCGGGAGGAGGAGGAGACGGGGGTCGCCGGCCGAACTGCCCAGCGCGCGAAGGGGACCCCCCACCCGGGAGGGGAGGGCCCTCTGGGAAGAGGCCAGTGCCCGGGGCACCCGGGGTGGCTGCAGCGCGCCGGCCGGCCGGTGGCCCGGGCCCGGCCGTGCCCCGCCTGCGCCGGCCGCTCCCGCCGAGGGGCGCCCGGGTTTGATTTTTTCTCGATTAATATCCAGGGACACGTCTGCGAGGCCGCCGTGCCAGAATTATGCGCCATCTTTGTTCTTTGATCGCGAGGCCCAAGTGCCGATTTCGTCGTGGGGGCGGGTGGGGGCGGGGAGCGCGCGGTGCGGGGCGCGGGGGTCCGCGGGGGCGCCCGCGGGGAGGTGGGGGCCCCTTTGTTCGAGCCGCGCGCCCCGGCGCGCACCCCGTCGCCGGGGGTCGACCCGCGTCTTGGAGCGGGGTGGCGGGGAGGGTCCCGGCTCCGGAGTCTGCCCGCCGCGAGCTGGGGGGTCCGGGGCCACGTTTCCAGGCCGTCGGCGGGGGCCTGCGGGGACCACGAGTATTTTGCAATGAGTTTTTTTTTTTTTAAATAAGCGCCGCGCGGTGCCCTGGTGCAAGCCGGGCGCCCCGGGTTGCAAAAGGGGGGACCCCGGGGTTCGCCCCAAAGCCTTTGCTGGCGCGCCCCAGACCCCCGGCCGCGGTCAAGGACCGCGCGGGGGTCATCTTCGGGATCTCTCGGGGTCCTGGGGTGCTTTTTAAAAAAATATCTTAAACAACCCCTGGAGAGACGACGTCTGGGGAAGGCGGCGCGGCCACCTTTGTGTCTCGCGCGCCCGGCGCCCACCAGGTCCCGGTCCGGCCCGGCCCGGGGGCGGCGGCGGGCGGCCACGTGGGCGCGCGGGGACTTTCCCTTTCGCTTTCGCGGGCGCTGACGCGGGGTCCGCCCAGGTGTGCGAGGAGCAGAAGTGCGAGGAGGAGGTCTTCCCGCTGGCCATGAACTACCTGGACCGCTTCCTGTCGCTCGAGCCCGTGCCCAAGAGCCGCCTGCAGCTGCTGGGCGCCACCTGCATGTTCGTGGCCTCCAAGATGAAGGAGACCATCCCGCTGACGGCCGAGAAGCTGTGCATCTACACCGACCACTCGGTGCGGCCGGACGAGCTGCTGGTGCGCGAGACCCCCGCCCCGCGCGCCCCCGCCCCCGGCTCCGAACCCCGAACCCCGAACCACCCCCGCTCCGGCTCCCGCGGCACCCGGGAGGGGCGGGACTACAGGGGGCAGGGTGCCCGGAGGCCGCCGTCCGACGCTGCGTCCCGAGCCGGGGCCAGGAGCCCACGCTGGCGGCCCCTCCTCGGGGAGCCCACCCCACCGGACCCCGCATCCCCAGGAAGGGCCCCCCAAGAAGCCCGAAAAATGGGCGGCGCGCGCCCTCTGGCGGCGGCGGCGGCGCGCTCGGGCCCGCCGCGCGCCCCAGGTCTCGGGAGGGGAGATTTGCAGCCCCCCGCGCCACCCCCCTGCTCGGGTCTGGACCCCGATCGAGCGCCGCCTCCCCCCTGCCCCTCTCCGCAGCACATGGAGCTGCTGCTGGTGAACAAGCTCAAGTGGAACCTGGCGGCGATGACCCCCCACGACTTCGTGGAGCACTTCCTCTCCAAGATGCCCGTGGCCCCCGAGAGCAGGCGCATCATCCGCAAGCACGCGCAGACCTTCGTCGCCCTGTGCGCCACGGGTACGCCGGGCCCCGCCGCCTCGGTTTCCCCTCCTGCTGCTCCGCGAGGGGCGGCCGCCCGCCCTCTGCCCCCTCCCCCTGGGTGGTCGCGGGCGGGAGCGGCGCCTCTGCGGTCCCCGCGTCTCGGCCGCCTGCTAGGGCGCACACAGGGTGCGAAGCCCGACCCCGGGGTGGGGGAAGGGAGCTGGACCTCGTTCTCTGACCCAGAAGCCCCCCGACTCCTAGCTCGCCCCGACGGACCCGCGGCCAGTGCAGACGAGGCGCCTATTCACGTGCGCGCGTGCACGGGCGTGCAGACAGGCGCGCGCTGCCTCCCCCTTCCCCAGCCCTGCCCGCGACCCCGTGACCCCTTCCTAGCTGGGCCTGGAGAGAAGGGGGGTGGGCGGGCAGACTGGCGACCACACCCCTGCCCCTCGGCTATTGCAACTGATGGGGGATGGCTCCAGGCCGCGCCTGCAAGGGCCAGGTGGGCACGTGCCCCTCGGAGCACCTCCGGCTGCAGCCCGGAGCTCGGTGGCTGGGGTTTGGGGGGCAGTTAGGGAGGAAATTTAGCGAAGCCCCCCACCCCCGTGCAAACACGCATGCCCTGAGTCAGTCCGGGTCCTTTCGGGCTAAGCTGACCGTTATTTCCCGGGACGGACCGCGCAGAGCGGGTGCGGAAGGGTCCCCAGCTTCCCCTCTGCACCCCGAGGGAGCGGCTGCAGTCTTTACGAGAGATAATGTGGGGCGCCCCCCACTCCAAGGGTGACCCCAGGGCGGCAGGGCCCTGGGGCAGAGGGGATGGGGCCGGGGCCACGTCCACGGCTCCCCCACGTTCCCCAGGCAGGACGCAGCCTCTGATCTCGCCGGGCCCGTGCCCTGGGGTGGGAAGCGGGTGCACTTCCAGAACCTTCTCCCCTGCCTCCACCCACGGGGGCTGGGGGCTCCTGCTCACGGCCCCTCTCACCCCACCCCTGCAGATGCCAAGTTCATCTCCACCCCGCCCTCCATGGTGGCCGCGGGCAGCGTGGCGGCGGCCGTGCAGGGCCTGCACCTGGGGGCGTCCAGCGGCTTCCTGGCCCCGCACCGGCTCTCGCGCTTCCTGTCCACCGTCATCAAGTGCGACCCAGTAAGTGACCGCGGGGACCCCCGCAGCCCCTCCTGAGCCCGTCTCCACCCAGCCCAGACAGACCCGGGGTCTGGGGGTGGGGCATGGCTCAGCTGGGGGGTCCAAGGCTGGGATTCGGGGAGGATGCGGAGGCAGGGGTCCCCTTCTGCGTCCCTCGATTGCGGGGGGCTTGGGGGACTTCTGGGTTCTGGGAGGCCCCTCGGCTGCGGCTCAGCGGTGCCCCCTGGTGGGCGGGGCTGAGCCCCTGGGCCAGGCGCGGCCCAGGTTCAGGGGAGAATTAACTGCGGCCCCCGTTCATGGGACAGGTGGCAGCCAGCAGAGACGCCCCCTCTGAGGCCCTGTCCCCTCCCGCCCCCCAGGACTGCCTCCGGGCCTGCCAGGAGCAGATCGAAGCCCTGCTGGAGTCCAGCCTGCGCCAGGCCCAGCAGAGCCTGGACCCCAAGGCCGCCGAGGAGGCGGAGGAGGACTTGTCCTGCACCCCCACCGACGTGCGCGACATCAGCCTCTGAGCGCCCCCGCGGGGCAGGGCAGGGCTGGGGTGGGTGCTCCCCTGCGCAGCCCCACCCCTCCTCCACCTCTCTTCCCTTCTGACTGCCACAAAAGACACAAAGTTCCCCCAAAAACTGTCTTTAAAAAAAAAGGAGAGAGAGAGAGAGGCGCTAGCATCCCCCTGACCCCTCGGGCAGTGACCGGGGTGGCCAGGGCCTAGGAACCAGCTAGTTTTTGATCCCCGGCTGCCCTCAGAATAGTTATTAAGATTAAGACACTGCCCGGCCCGCGGGCCGAGTTCTCTGTTGCAAGCAAAAAAACAAACACACAAAAAAAGCTTAAAACCTTTTTTTTTTTTTCCAAGTAGGAAAACTCTGAAGGCTTTTTTGCATAGAAGGTTCTGGTAGCTTCCCCATCCGCGGGCCTGCCCGGGGAGCTCAGCTTTAAGGCGCGGCCAGGCCCCGTTGCTGGCTGCCCGGGCCTGTAGTCACTTTATCAGTCTTGTGCCTGGGTGACCACGCGGGGAAGGTCGCGCTGGGACCCCCAGCCCAGCCCCTGACCGCGCAGAGCCGCCGCTGGGCGATGCCATAGAGTCTATTTTTGTAATCTCCCTGGTTGTGTTGTTGTTGTTGTTGGTTTGGGTTCTGTTTTTGGTTTTGTTTTCGCCTGTTTCCCCCATGCTGGGTTCTCACCCCACTGCCCCCCACTCCACACCCGACCCCCTGCCCCAGCCCAGCCCCCCACACACACCCACCCACCGTGCCAAGCACCCGGCAACTTCGGCTGCACGCACGGGTGGTCTTCCTCATGTTTCTTCTCGATTCTGAACCATCCCACCCCCAAGCCCTTCAGCCAGCAGGAGCCCGGGTGGTGTGAGAACGAGCGACCCCGCGGGAAGGTTTGGGGACGTTGAGGCCTGGTGCAGAGTGGGAGAGCTGCCCGGGGAGCGGGCGAAGGGGGGTGGCCCTGTGCCGCCCACACGGAGCCTGAAGGGACCCGGCCCCGGGGCCAGCTGGCGTCTGCGGACAGGAGCCGCAGAGGGTGGCCTAGTGGACGTGTAGGTTTGTGTGGGGGGGGGGTGCAGAGCGTGGCCACGCGGGGGTCTGGACACTTGACAGGATGTCTGGTTGGGGGCTCCAGGCCGGCGTGGTCTGGGGCCCGCTCGGCTCACGCCAGGCTGACCCAGTCTGTGAACATTAGCTGCTTTGGGGGTGGTCGGTCAGAAGCGACACGGGCGGCGCTTCGGCCCGTCGGGGGCTTGGGGGGCTTGTCCCACCTCCGGAAACCAGGTTAGCAATTAGCCGATTTGCACTTCTCTCGCCCTGAACCATTTCTGTACCCTGGAGGGGCCCCCGTCGTCTGGCTGGCCGCCCCTGCCGGTCCTTCTCTGTCCCCATGTTGCTGCTATCCTCCCTGAGGCCCGGCCCGTCCCCCTGGACCCCCCACCCCCGTCATGTGTGTGTGATTCTGACGCCTGCGCTATTCCAAAAAGGTTCCCGTCCCACAGTACCTCGTGCTTCTTGGCCGCGTGCAGGCCGGCGGCCCCTCCCCCACGCCGGACTCAGTCCCATCCGGGATCGACCACTGTCCACTGTAGGAGCCCCCTGGGCCGCTCGGCTCTCGGCCCTAGCTCCAGGAAGTTCATGTTTATTATTATTATTATTGCTGTTGTTAATTGTGACAGACCGCCCAAGCCCGCTGCTTCTGGGCTGGGCCGTGTGGGGGGTGATCGAGTAACTTTTGGAATTGTTGGGGTGTGTTGGGGGCGGCCGGGCGGTTCTGTGGGCCCCCCCGGGAGCCGCCCAGCACGCTGCCAAACCCAAAGGAGAGGCCTGGGCCCAGCAGACGGAGGCCCCGGCGGGCGCAGGCAGCCAACGCGTACCTCACTCTGCCTGTGCCCTCAACACCCCCCTGTAGCCAAAAGCAAAGACAAAGATGAAAAGTCTAGGAATAAAGTTGGTGAAATCCCACGTGTGGTCACTGCTTCTGGGGTGGGGGGGGGGGGGGGTGGGAGGCGGGGAACTGGCAAGAGTCCCCACTGGGCATTGTGGGGGGTGAGGGGCTTGAGAGGGCAGGTGGGCCCCCAGCACTCCCCGGCCTCAGCTGGCTGGGGGGTCTGCGCTCTGGGGGAAGACCCCCTCAAATGCCATCAAGTGGGGTCTGTCTTGGTTCAAAGCAGGTGTCTGAAGGGCTCAGCTGGGACCCTCCCCACAGGCCCAACCGCCAAGAGGCCCCAGAGGCAGAGATCAGGCCGCCATGCCCGGGGACAGTGAGGGTCAGGCTGCCCGTGGGTGAACCCAACTGCATCACCGACAGCCTGGCCTGGGGGAAAGGCCTGGCACCCAAGGGTCCCTGAGCTATGGCAGGGGTGGGTGCTGGGGTGCTTGATGTTGCCGTTGCCCCTTGAATGACCATGTGCTGAGTCTGGGAGGAGACCCCCAAGTCCAGGCAGGCGTTCTCGGGGGGAGGCAGGCCCTGCCCGCCTTGGGTGGGGGTACCCAGACGTGGCAGGGACAGTGCTGGTCTCGGTTCTGTGTGGTCACTGCAGGCCCCCGTGGGCTCGGATGGGCTCACGGGCTCCAGCCCCACAGGGGATCGGCACAAACCAAGTTGCTTCAAGGCTTGAGGGCATCGGGGTTCTGAAGAAAGTGGGGACCCCAAGCCTGTGGGCTAGCGAGGGCTCTGCTGACCCCGCCCCACCCAGCTACTAGACGTGGCGGCTCTGAAGCCAGCTCTTGCAGCCGTCAGCTGCTTTGCAGTTCAACCTGCAGCCCGGGGACTGTGGGCGCATCCCAGGGAGGACCCGTCTCCTGGGACTGAAGCAGGACCGCGTCTGTCCAGGGGCCACCACTGGACAGACACACAGAACAGCTCTCCCCAGGCCCTTCCCAAGCCCCCAGGCCAGCGCAGGACTATAGCAGCTTCCTCTGGGGGCCACCCCTCATTTCTGGCCCTGGGCGTGCCCCACCCCCATGTGGGGGGGCAGCAGGGAGGGGGGAGGACCCTTCCCCAGAAGAGTCCAGCAGAGACACCCGCCAGTCCTGGGCACCCCCGGGACGTCCCTCCCTCCCCTGCCAGGCCCCAGACAGACCCCCGGAGGTGGAGTAAGAGGCAGCACCCCTGATGACGCCCGCACACCAGCTCTGGTGTGTGGGGCGCACGGTCAGGGGGGCCCCCGCCCCACTATTTCAGGGGGCACCAAGAGCAAGCCTCCAAACCCGCAGGGCCACTCAGCCTGGCCCGAGCTTAAGGATGGTGTGGGATGGGGCCACCTTGGGGAGATTCTGAGGAGTGGACGTGACTCTGCTATGAACACTAGATGCAGCACACAAGGCCTCCTCCTCCAGGAAGGCCGCGGGGGCCGAAGCCAGGCAGGGGCTCATGGGGGAAGTGGGGCCCAGCGGGGGGTGGGGGTTCTGGGTTCGGCCCACCAGCCGGTTCAGCCTTGCTGCCCATGGGGGTGCAGGTGGCCTGATGCCCTTCCAGGGGGTGACCTCCATACAGCGGGGCCCGGTCCTCCCCACCACGGGGGTCTGCAGAGGGGGGGGGGGGGCAGTGGCTGCGGGCGGAGCTGGCGGCTGGCAGGACACTGCTTGGGGCATCCTCCCCAGTGCCCTGGGCACTGCCTCCCTGCCAGGGTCTACACGGCAAGTGCCTGTCTACGGGGCGAGTGTCTGTCTACACGGCGCGTGTCTACACGGCAAATGTCTGTCTATGCGACAAGTGTCTACACACCGAGTGTCTGTCTACATGGTGTCTGTCTACGCGGCGAGTGTGTCTACACAGCGAGTGTCTGTCTACACGGCGAGTACCTGTCTACACAGCGAGTGTCTATGTGGCACGTGTCTGCAACACGGCAAGTGTCTGTCTACACATCGAGCCAAACCAGGAAACTGCTCTAGAAACCAACAAGGAGCCTGGGTGGCAGCAGAGGCCTTGCCAGGCTCCGGTTTATTTCTCTGCAGTCACAGACGCGCACGGGGCCCAGGGCAGCCACGGCAGCGCCTCCCCAGGACAAAGCTCAGGGAGGGGCGATGCCCCCAGACTCCCCCCCCTTGAGGTGTGCACACACCCGAGAGGCTGGGGCTGGGGTGAGGGGAGGCCCCATACGGGCTGTGGGGCCTGGCGCAGGGCCGGGAACAGCACGTGAGCCAGGGGTCCCTGCACAAGGGGGACAGAGTCCCCGCAGGGCCGGCACCTGCAGGCAGGCCGAGGAAAGACGCCCTTTCAGCCCGCCCGCAGCGGGACCGTGTCATGTAACCAGGGCGGAGGGGACCCCTTCCTGGGGTCCATCACCGATTCCTGCCCACAGGCCCCGAGGGCACAGGAGCAGCAGGGGACGGGGGGTGCCGACACCCCTCAGGGGCTTGGCAGGCGCGGGCACAGAGCCCCGTCACCCACTGTAAACCCGGCACTGCCGCCTCGGTCTTGTGGCCACCACTGCCACGGGCGACTGTCCCCATCGGCCTTTCTCGGTCCTCCTCAGAAGGAGAGTCCAGAACCTTCTGTGCGGATATTGAAGTCCGGCTGCACGTTGAGCAGAGAGCAGAGCTGTGGGGACAGGGGAGAGGCCTCTGGCACCCCATTCATTACCCACTGCCCGCCGCCCCCCCGCCCCCCAGCACCCGCCGCCCACCCGCACCTGTCTGAACTTCCCCCGGATTCTGTCCAGGTCTTCGTGCAGCGTCTCGTGTGTCGGGTCCCCGTAGGGGAAGCTCTGGATCATGGCCTCGAGGGCTTCCAAGGCCTTCCTCTTCCTGCTGTCGAGACAAGGGGCCAGAGATGGCGGCGGCAGGGACGGTGCCCACCCTGCCCACGGCCCGCTCGGGTCTGACCCTGACACCGCACAGCCGAGGGGCACAGAGACGCGAGTCTGTCCCTGTGCCGGCCACTCCAGGAAGAGCACGGAGAACCCACGGCCAAGGGCCCCGAGCAACGTGTCAGTGCGGGGACAGCCACCAGCCCCCCCACCCCAGACCCCCAAGGACGCCGCATCCCAAAGGCAAGCCAGGCTGGTCCTCTCTGCTCAGCGAGACGGTGGCCACACGGGCTGCGTCCAGGCCACTGACCGGGGCCCGCGTGATGGGACGGAGAGCACGGAGCTCAGCCCACAGCGGGCAAGGCTGCTCGCGGGCGGGTCAAGGGCCTGCACCAGGGGCCGCCCCTCAGGCACCCCCTCACGCCCCCTCGATCCCCCTCGCCTCCCCCTAATGCCCGAGTTCCCCTCCCCCTCCCTTATGTCCTCTCCATCCCCCTCAGGTCCCCCCTACACCCACTCTAACGCACCTGTCAGCACGAGGCCGAGGAGCCTGGGGTGTGGCGAGCTGGGGCTACCTGAGGGGCTGCAGGCCGGGGCTGGGGTCAGCACATGCACGAGACCCCGGATCAATCCCAGCATGCTCCATGCCCCCAACTCTTTTTTTTTTTCTTTTCTTTTTGGGTCCCACTCGGTGATGCTCAGGGGTTCCTCCTGGCTCATGCACTCAGGAATCACTCCTGGCGGTGCTTGGGGGACGTTATGGGATGCTGGAGATCGAACCCGGGTCGGCCGTGTGCAAGGCAGACGCCCTCCCTGCTGTGCTATCATTCCAGCCCCACACCTCCCCCCGCAATCTCTAAAACTCACTCTGATCTCCCGGCTCTAGTTGGGCCTGGAGGACCCCCAGCACCCCCACTTTTGGCCTGGGAGGCGGGAGAAGCCAGGCTAGCCCTGTGCCGGGCCTGGACCCCTGCACACTCGGGCGCTCGAAGCTGGAGCAACTGGAAGGAGCGCAGCCCCGTGCCAGCCTGCAGCCACTGTCCTCGGAGAAGCCCCCACAGGGCAAAGGGTGGCACGGAGGGCCTGCAGCCCTGCACCTCAGGCCCAGCTGTGAACCGCCCCCTGGTTGGCCAAGAATCACTGGCTGGGCCCTCGGGCCTCCTGAACATCACTGGGGCCCCCCCCCCCCCCGAAAGAAATGGTGTTTCGCCAAACGTCCAGAACATTCACCAAACACCCGGATGTTCACAAAACACCCAGAACAGGAACCGGAGCGCTAGTACAGCGGGGAGGGCATGTGCCTTGCCCGCAGCCAGCCTGGGCTTGATCCCCGGCATCCCATAGGGTCCCCCGAGCCCCGCCAGGAGTGAGTCCTGAGCACAGAGTCAGGAGTAACCCAGGCATCGCCGTTGCGACCCAAAAACAGAATCGAAAATCCCGAACACACGGCGCATTCACCAGATGTCCCAACGCTCCCCAAACCCCGGAACACGTCCGCACGCCAACTTGGTCTCCATGCCGGGGGAGGGGAGAGACGCACGAGTCGGGGGTCCGGGGGGGAATGGAGGCACGACCCCAGCCCCCCGCTGCAGTCACCCTACCTGTCCTTCTCGGAGGCGCCGCTGTCCAGCAGATACCGCCACGCACAGGCAAAGCCCCGGTAGCACCCGATCTGGGGGTCAGAGACGGGAGGAGGGCATCAGTGAGGGCTGGAAGCCTCAGGCTTCCGGGGCTTCAGGAAGGCACCCCTGGGCGCCCACCCTGGAGGGGAGGGTCTGAGGCCTGTGGGGGACCCCCTATACCCACACACTCAGGCCTCGGAGCTGTGCCAGAGTGAGGAACAGGAGAGGGTGAGACCACCTCCAGGGCACACGTGGCTTTCAGCCCCCCAGACCAGGGCCAGGCTGACCCGGGTTCGATTCCTAGGGCCACTGGGGCTTGGGGCTCAGTGCTCAGCCCAGTGCTCGGGGCTCAGTGTTCAGCCCAGTGCTCAGGACTCAGTGTTCAGCTCAGAGTTCAGTGTTCAGCTTGGCTCTCAGGGCTCAGTGTTCAGCTTGGGGCTTGGAGCTCAGTGCTCAGCCTGGTGCTCAGGGCTCAGTGCTCAACTCCGGCTCCCTGCCCTGCAGTCCCTGCAGGCGGCAGCAGCTGTTGTGTCTGCAGCCAAGCAGGGGGGACCTCTGTCTCCCACCACAACCCCAACTGTGGCGGCCAGCAAGTTTGGAGCTTGCAGGGAGGCAGGAAAGGAAACCGGCTCTCAGCACCTGAGTGCGAACTGGTGGGTGCTCCTGACACCCACCTCTCGGGGAGGAGTCGCTGGCCCTGGAGTCCCTAGGAGGCACCAGGACCCGCCCAGGCAGCCAGGAGTGGAGGGGGCGCTCTCCTGGCCACAGCCATGTGCTCCATGGAATCCAGCACCTTCTAAGAGGACTGGAGAGATAGCAGAGTGGGTTGGGCATTTGCCTTGCACGCGGCCAACCCGGGTTCGATCCCCGGCATCCCATAGGGTCCCCCGAGCACCGCCAAGAGTAATTCTTGAGTGCAGAGCCAGGAGTAACCCCTGTGCATTGCTGGGTGTGACCCAAAAACGGAAAAAAAAAATATTTTTGGCTTCTAGGTCACACCCAGTGAAGTTCAAGGGTTACGCCTGGCTTTGCACTCAGGAATCACTCCGGGCGGTGCTCAGGGGATTCTATGGGATGCTGGGGATCGAACCCGGGTCGGCCGCGTGTAAGGCAAATGCTATCCCCGCTGTCCTGTCGCTCAGGTCCCCGCATGCAGGCTCAGCCGCCTGACGGGCCGGAAGCCAGGGGCGGCCACTCACCTCGGAGCCGATCCTGGCGCCCTGCATGGCTCCGTGCCGCCTCCCCTCGGTGAGGCCCAGGCTGCTGCCGTCCTCGAAGCCTTCCCGGTAGCCGTCCCCGTGGAACCTGGAGAAACAGGGGCCACAGCACCGTCAGCACTGGCCTCTGCCCCAGGGGCTCCGGTCAGGGTCCCCTTTCCTGCTGCTGCTCCTCCCGGTCACTGCATCTGGGCCCCCAATTTTCCTCCTCCAGGAAGGCAGGGCCAAACTGGGCTCGATCCCCAGCACCCCGGATGGCCCCTCACCAAGCCCACCAGCAGTGATCCCTGAGCACAGAGCCGGGCGTAAGCCGAGCACCACTGCCTGTGACCCCAAAGCCAACAGATTCAAAGAAAAAAATCGGGGCTGGAGTGACTGCACAGCGGGGAGGGCGTTTGCCTTGCACATGGCCGACCCGGGTTCGATTCCCAGCATTCCATACGGTCCCCTGAGCACCGCCAGGGGTAATTCCTGAGTGTAGAGCCAGGAGGAACCCCTGTGTACCGCCAGGTATGACCCAAAAAGCAAAAAAAAACCCAGAAAACTTGGGCCGGAGTGATAGCACATCGAGTAGGGCGTTCTGCCTTGCACGCGGCCGACCCGGGTTCGATTCACAGCATCCCATAGGGTCCCCTGAGCACCGCCCGGGGTGATTCCTGAATGCAGAGCCAGGAGGAACCCCTGTGCACCGCCGGGTGTGACCCAAAAAGCAAAAAAAGAAAAAAAAAGTGCAGGGGCTGGAGTGATAGCACAGCGAGCAGGGCGTTTGCCTTGCACGCGGCCGACCCGGGTTCGATTCCCAGCATCCCATAGGGTCCCCTGAGCACCGCCAGGGGCGATTCCTGAACGCAGAGCCTGGAGGAACCCCTGTGCACCGCCGGGTGTGACCCCAAAAGCAAAAATAAGTAAGAAGGAGAAGAGAAAAAAATCCCGAACGAACTCAAGCACTAACCCGACCCGACCGCTCAGCTCATCCCGGCCGGGCCGAGCCGGCCACCCCCAGCGGCGGGCGGGCGGGCGGGGCGGGCAGGTCCCCCGGGGGCTGGCCGGGGAGTGGGCTGGGCCGACGGACGCGGGGGGGTCGGGGATGGGGCCCCGGGGACAGGCGGGGACAATGGGAGGACAATCGGAGCCCCTCGACAAGGAGGGCTTCAATGCATAACCAGGCGGGCGCCATTCGGGCCGCGGCGCGAATAAATGTCCCCGATGAATGTCCCCAACTGGTGCCGCGGCGCGGGCCCGCCCCGGCCTCCCAGCGGCTCCCGGGGGACGCGCGCGCGGCGCCCGGGCCGGCGGGGCCGTGAAAGCCGCCGTCTGGCCCGCGGCCGGGGGCAGCGCCGGGGGCAGCGCCCAGATGGCCGGGGGGGCGGCGCCCGGCAGATGCCCGGCTGGGGGCGGGGGCCGGGGGCGGGCCCGGGAGCAGCTGGGCACGTGGCGGCCGGCCCGGGGGCGCGGGGTCAGCGGGGACCCGCCGCCCCCGGGAGCCCCTCGGCGCCCGCGCCCCCCGGGCCCGCCCCCCGGTCCGCGCCCGCCCCGGACTCCCGCGGCCCCGCCGCCTACCGCTCCTCCGCCATCACGATGGCATCGAACATGTCCTGCCGCCCCGCCATGCCCACGGCGCTGCCCGCACCCGCGCGGCCCCGCGCGCCCCGCGCCCACTTCCGGGAGCGCCGCGCGGGGCACGCTGGGTACGGACGGCGCGCGCGAGGGCCCAGTCGGCGGCGGCTGGGCGTGGTCGCGCGGGCCCGAAGCCCCGCCCCGTGGCGGCCCGAAGCCCCGCCCCGTGGCGGCCCGAAGCCCCGCCCCTCCCAGGTGCCTGGACTCAGGGCCGCTGAGCAACCTTAGGCCCAGAGCGGCTGGAGTTTTCACTTCATTCCTGCGATTTGTCTGGAAAAAAAAAGAGTGATCAGAGTGATTTGGGCCGGAGCTATAGCACAGCAGGTAGGGCGTTTGCCTTAACCCGGGTTCGATTCCCAGCATCCCATATGGTCCCCTGAGCACCACCACGAGTGATTCCTGAGTGCAGAGCCAGGAGTAACCCCTGTGCATTGCCAGGTGTGACCCGAAAAGCAAAAAAAAAAAAAAAGGAAAAAAAGTGATCGAGATGGGCTGGAGCTACAGTTCAGCGGGGAGGGCGTTTGCCTTGCACGTGGCTCACCCGGGTTCGATCCCGGCATCCCATATGGTCCCCCAACACCGCCAGGTGTAATTCCTGAGTGCAGAGCCAGAAGTAACCCCTGAGTATCGCTGGATGTGACCCAAAAAGCAAAAAAAAAAAAAGTGATCGAGGTGGGCTGGAGCAACAGTCCAGCGGGGAGGGCATTTGCCTTGCACGCAGCTGACCTGGGTTCGATCCCCAGCACCTTATATGCTTCCCCGAGCAACGGGAGTGACTCCTGAGCATTGCCGGGTAAGACCCCCAACCAAGAGCAAAACAAATATTTATTTATGGGCTGGAGCCATAGTTCGGGGAGGGTGTTTGGGGAGGCCTTCGAACCCCAGCACCCCCCCCCCGGGCATCCCCCAAATGCCCTTAGCAGTGATCCCTCAGTGTGAACATCTCCGGGTGTGACCCAAAAAGCAAAATATAAATAGGTAAATTTCTAAAAGGAGAGAGAGAGAGAGATTGAGGGCTCAGGGTATTCACCTTGCCTGTCTGAGTCCCGGGTTTGAGTCCCCGCAGCTCTGATTTGGCCTCCCTGAGCCCCCCGGGAGGGATCCCTAAGGATCATGCCCGCTGCCCCCCACTTCCTTACACACCCCACCTTGTCCCCAGTCCCCTCTATTTCCCTTGGGACCTCAGTCCACTTGCCAGAGTTCACGGGCTTCTTTTTCTTTTCTTTTCTTTTGCCCATTGGTCAATGTGATTTCCGTATATTCCACACGGGGTGAAATTAACCAATGCCCGTTGGTTGTGAAATTAACCAATGCCCGTTGGTTGTTCTACTTCGGACTCACTCCACTTGGCACGATTCCCTCCATTTGCTTCCATTTTGCTGCGAATGGAAATTTTAATCGTTTAATAGCTACATAGTAACCCCGTGTGTGTGTGTGTGTGTAAACAACATCTTTATCCAATTATCCACCAATGGGCAATTCAGTTTTCTACATCTCTTTACTATTGTAAATAATATGCCCGTAATCACGGGAGCAGACACGACTTCATCTTTTGGGGGTAGAAACTGTTCTTTCATGTTTGTCAACAGGGGCACCATCCGCGGGTGCTGTAGGGGCCCCCCTGGTGGTGTTGGACATGAGGGCAAGACAGAGCTTTGTCCCCAGGACTGCACCCTGTGGGGCCGGGGACCACAACCTTGTCGCCTCTCACATGGTTGGCATCTGGCAAGTGTTGTACCACAATAACTGCCTCGGACCTATGTTTTGCTTTTCTGGGGGGGGGGGGCAGGAGCCGTACCCAGCATTGCTCAAGGGTTCGTCCTGGCTCTGTCTTTAGGAGTGATCCCTGGCAGTGCTCAGGAGCACTTGTGTGCTGTGGAGTCACAATGGGGCCGGCCGCATCCAGTCTGCCCCTTCAGCCTCTCCCCCTGCTTTCCCGAAAATAGCAGCCATAAACGGGATGGAACCAAATTCCCCAAAGAATAGAGCTGGAGGGGTTGGAGCGATAGCACAGCGGGTAGGGCGTCTGCCTTGCATGCGCTGACCCGGGTTCGATTCCCAGCATCCCATATCGTCCTCTGAGCATCGCCGGGAATAACTCCTGAGTGCAGGTGTAACCCCTGTGCATCGCCAGATGTGACCCAAAAAGCAAAAAAAAAAAAAAAAGAAAGAAAGAAAGAAAGAAAGAAAAGAGCTGGGGATGTTACCCAGGAGCCCAAGATTCTGGGTTGGGAGATTTGATTGGACAGATTTTAGCTCAGGGTGTGTGGGGGGGGAGGGGGGGAGGGGATGGAAGGATGGGGAACTTTCCCAGATGTGAGATTTCAGAACATCACGGACTCAAAACTTGGCCTGAGGGGCTGGAGCAATAGCACAGCAGGTAGGGCGTTTGCCCTGCGTGCGGCAGACCCAAGTTCGATTCCCAGCATCCCATATGGTCCCCCAAGCAATGCTAGGAGAATTTCTGAGTGCATGAACCAGGAGTAACTCCTGTGCATCGCTGGGTGTGACCCAAAAAAGAAAAAAAAAACTTGGCCTGAAGTTAACAGTGCCCCCACGAACTGCAGGTGACAAGAAACAGCCCGGCACCTTCACAAAAACCACTCTGAGGAGGCCGGGGTTAGCTCAGGGGTAGGGTGCTGGCCTTGCACGCAGTAAGCCCTGCACTGATCCCTGCCCCCCGCCCCGGGTCCCCCCTAGCACTGCCAGGAGTGAGCCCTGAATACTCAGCCCAGAATCCCTAAGCACCATCACATGCAGCCTGAAAACTAAGAGAAATAAAGAAGAAAGTATTTGTGTTGAGTCAAGGTTAGTTCAACAGGCTGTTTGTTTTGCCTGCAAAAGCCCCAAGTACAGATCTTGCACTTTGAGGTTCCCTGAACCCCCAAACCCCTGAGCACTGCCAGGTGTGACCCCCCAAAACAAAAGGGCAGCGGATTTTTTTTTTTTAGCTTTTTGGGTCACACCCGTCAATGCTCAGAGGTTCCTCCTGGCTCTGCACTCAGGAATTACTCCAAGTGGTGCTCAGGGGACTGTGTGGGATGGCGGGGATTGAACCTGGGTCAGCCACGTGCCAGGCAGACGTCCTCCCCGCTGTCCTATCGCTCCGGCCCCCGTAGTTTTGGTTTGGTTTTTGGGTCACACTGATGAGTTCAGGGGTTCCTCCTGGCTCTGCACTCTGCATTTAGGAATTATTCCTGGCACTGCTCGGGGGAACCATAGGGGATGTCAGGGGTCGAACCCGGGTTTCCTCAGCTTCAACTTTAATTTCTCTATTACTGTCACTGTCCTCCCATTGTTCATTGATTTTTTTGAGCAGGCCCAGTAACGTCTCCATTGGAGACTTTGTTGTTACTGTGTCTGGCATATCGAATACTCTCGGTAGCTTGCCGGGCTCTCCGAGAGGGGCGGAGGAATCGAACTTGGGTCGGCCATGTTGCCTGCGTGCAAGGCAAACGCCCTACCGCTGTGCTATCGCTCCAGCCCAATTTCTCTGAATGAGGACTTAATATTTACATTGTGGCTTCAGAATGCCATTATAAAGCATTTACTTTACAATGAAATTAAAAGGGTTTGCTATAATAAAGTATTTATACAAAGTTATAAAGGGGGGTATGCCTATTGTCTGTCATCTACAAGTTGTTCACTCGAGTCATCCTGAATAGGATTGGCAGAACACTAGATGAAGGACAACCATGCGAGCAAGCAGGGTTCCGCAAAGGATTCAGCACCATCGACCATATCCACACGATAACCAAGCTCATTGAGGTTTCTCGGGAGTTCAAGATGCCGCTCTGCTTAACGTTCATTGATTTAAAGAAGGCCTTTGATTCTGTTGAGACGGAAGCGGTCATTGAAGCCCTAGCCAATCAGGGCATTCAAGCCCAATACATCAGGATCCTCCGTGAGCTGTATTGCGGATTCACTACCAGGATCTCACCATTCTACAAAGAAGTGATCGTTGATGTCAAGAGAGGGGTGCGGCAGGGTGATACCATTTCACCGAAACTCTTCAGTGCCACCCTCGAGAACATCATGCGACGACTGGAATGGGAAGGAATGGGAGTGAAGATAGATGGTCGGCAACTACACCACCTCCGCTTTGCTGATGACATTGTTTTAATAACACCAAACATCAGCCAAGCGGCACAAATGCTGGCAGACTTTGACCGTGAGTGTGGAAAGGTAGGACTACAGCTGAATCTTACGAAGACAATGTTTATGAGAAACAGCCTTGTTCCTGACGCCCCATTCACTCTCAACGGAACGACCATCTCCGAATGCAACAGCTATGTGTACCTAGGTCGAGAGGTCAACATGACAAATGACCTGGCACCCGAGCTGCGCAGGAGGAAGAGAGCGGCTTGGAACGCCTTCAAGAACGTCGAAGAAATAGCTAAGAGGACGAAGAACCTCCGGCTCCGGGCACATCTCTTTGATTCCACTGTTCTTCCTGCATTAACATATGCCTCAGAGGCCTGGGCCCTACGCAAACAAGATGAGAACGCCATTCAGGTCTCCCAAAGAAGAATAGAAAGAGCTATGCTTGGAATATCACGTTTCACTCAAATGAGAGAAAGAATCCGGAGTTCTGACATCCGTCGACGATCAAGGATCAGGGACGCTGTCTCATTTGCCAAGGTGTCGAAAATCAGATGGGCTGGTCACGTAATGAGATTTAAAGACGACCGCTGGACTAGAGCGGTTACCGACTGGATTCCATGGGATGTTAAAAGACCGCGTGTCCGCCCACCTTCCAGATGGTCAGACTTCTTCGTCAAGATCATGAACGATCGGTTTGAGGCCCTTCATGTTCCCGGAGCGAACAGATGCCATTGGGCTACACTAGCACGCGACAGGGACAAATGGAGACGTTACTGGCGCCCGCTCGAGCAAATCGACGACTAACGGGAAGTTAAGTGATTAAGTGATAAAGGGGGGTCAAACCCCAAAATCCATCTTACTAGGGAATAAAACACACAGGGCCAGGGAGACGGCTCAGAGGTTAGATCCCACAAGATCCTGAGCAATCCTGGGTGCAGAACTCCCAAAATAAAACAGAAACAAAAATTAAATC